TTGAAACAGTCCATAAAATATGCTTTTCAAAACACAATGTAGTAATGTGAAAATTTTCACACAGTGAAAAGCAGCAGACCTGAAGGTCAGGTTTATGTTTTCAGCTTTCATGTACAATCAGCCAACGGGGTTGTGGAAAGGCAGGCAGAGTATGGAAAAAGTACAAAATGAAGAACTAAAGCCCAGGGACTTCAGTGGAATTTACTCATAAGTAGTATATTCTTATAGTATCCACTGACATGGCTCCAGCTGCGGTCACAAATACATTGAACCAGAGTGGGGCCTTTTATTTAAAGCAGTGGCTACACATCCTGCCCAGTTTGCCCGCGGTTTAAGCCCTGCTGTATGAGTCCCATCCCAACAACTAGAATCCGCCATAAGTCAGAAAAAAGCAGAGCTACCTAGTGTCTTGGCTGCAATCAGCTGTGGCTAACAATGGTCCTTGCGCTTTGTGCATTTTAGGTCATTTTATTTTGCACCACAATGCCAAAAAGGAGAGCCTCATACACTGGAGACACATAGGCATTGCCAGAATTGGGTGGTCATGATGGTTAGTACGAAGTATGGCCGTGGAAAGCAGTACTTGCCAGGTGCCAATGAGCCCTGCAGCCACATGATGTAGAAGAAGTTGACAATTGTTCCTACCTTGATGTACCAACATTAGCCTCTTTGTGATTTCTTGCCTCTCTTCTCCCTCTTTGGTTGAGGGGCTTTGGGCTTTCTGTGACAAAGGGAATTTGAACCCGGGTCTCCACAAGTCCAGCACTCAAACCCCGGCACCATACACACATTGAGAGCAAAACGCCTTCAAAGCGAATGTCTTTATAGCTTTGACAAAGATGAAGCAGTCAATTGTTGGTCCCGATCAAAAATGTACAAAATGTCATTTTTAATTTAATTCCTTATCTTCTTGTTTTAAGAAGATCATGCCTCACAACATAGGGAGCATCTACACTGTCAAACCAGTGCAGTTGAGCACCACTTTAGCTGCCCTGACTCAATGTGATGGGGTCCTGGGAGTTGTAGCTTGATGTTGAATAATAAGGTATTTCTTACTTGCCTCTCCATGAGGCTCAAGGCGGGGCACAACACAGTTAAAACATTGAGATAAATCACTATTAAATAATCATTTTTCTTACCTGACTCTCCTTTAGGCTTGAGGCAGGACACAATACAGTTAAAAACATATTATAAAACATATAAAAGACAATATATAAAATACATATATATTGAAAATACATAGTAGAAAGGTTAAACACAGGAGATGAGTTTAAAATTCGTAGTTAAAAATGGACTGACTGGGTAGGCCTAATGGAAGAGAGATTTGTTAAAATTCTTTCAAAAGAAGATTATACAGGTAAAAAGATTACAAAAAGATGTTTTTATATGTGCATGTTTTATTTTACTGTATTTTATATTCTGTTCACTTTTATGTTTGTTTTTAGGCACTTTGTGCCGTCTGTAAGCCACCCCGAGTCACTTCGGGGAGCTGGTGGCAGTATATAAGAATAAAATTATTATAATCCACTGATAAAATGCATGTTAAAAATCACAAGTTTTTATTGTGTCACAAACGAGTTGAGAATACAGATATAATGTATATAAAAACCACAAAGTTAAAAGCTTGGCATTATATTAAATGTCCTTTGACCAGAAGCTGGCCATTTGGAGTGCCTCTGGTGTCGCTGTGAGAAGGTCCTCCATTGTGCATGTGGCAGGGCTCAGATCACATTGTAGTAAGTGGTCTGTGGTTTGCTCTTCTCTGCATTTGCATGTCATGGACTCCACTTTGAAGCCTTATTTCTTAAGACTGGCTCTGCATCTCATGGTGCCAGAACACAGCCTGTTCAGCACCAAGTCACCCTGTCTTCTGTGCGCCTAGGGGGGAGTTTCTCATCCAGTCTCAGCCACTGATTGAGGTTTCGGGTTTTAGCCTGCCACTTTTGGACTCTCGCTTGCTAAGGTGTTCCTGCGAGTATTTCTGTGGATCTTAGAAAGCTATTTCTTGATTTAAGGCGTTGGCTGATATCTGATATATATTAGCTGAACAGTATAATTTCACCAGTGGTGTTGGGCGTAGACATCCTGTGATAATGAGGCATGTCTCATTAAGAACCACATCCACTGTTTTAACAGGGTGGAATGTATTCCACACTTGGCATGAGTACTCAGCTGCAGAGTAGCAAATCACAAGGGCAGATGTCTTCACTGTGTCTGATTGTGATCCCCAGGTTGTGCCAGTCAGCTTTCATATGATATTATTTCTAGCACCCACTTTTTGCTTGATATTCAAGCAATGCTTCTTGTCAGAGCACAGTCCAGAGTGACTCCCAGGTATATTTGTGTGCTGCAATGCTCCAGTGGGATTCCTTCCCAGGTAATCTTCAGTGCTTGAGATGCTTGTCTCTTCTTCAGATGAAAAGCACATGCCTGCATTTTAGAAGAATTAGGAATCAGTTGGTTTTCTCTGTAATAGGCAGTAAGAGCACCTAAAGCAGTGGTTCTCAACCTGGGGTCCCCAGATGTTTTTGGCCTACAATTCCCAGAAATCTCAGCCAGTTTACCAGCTGTTAGGATTTCTGGGAGTTGAAGGCCAAAAACATCTGGGGACCCCAGGTTGAGAACCACTGACCTAAAGCTTCAGAGAGCTTCTGTTCAACCATTTTAAAGCTCCCCGCTTGAGTGGTGATTGCACGATCGTCAGCAAAGATGAAAATCTCTGTCCCTTCTGGCAGTGGCTGACCATTTGTGTAAATGTTGAACATTGATGGAGAAATCACACTCCCCTGAGGCAGGCCGTTCTGTTTTCGCCATCTGCTTCTCTGACCCGGGGATTCAACAAAAAAGCTCCTGTTTTGTAGCATATTTCCTATGAAGTGGGTGAGGTAATTCTTTGTGATATACATTTTTCTCAGGAGAAGTCGATGATTTACAGTTTCATAAGCTGCTGACAGGTGTATGAAGACCGCTCCTGTAATCTGCTGACTTTCAAAACTGTCTTTTATGTGCTGAGTCGGATTCAACACTTGTGATGTGCAGCTTTTCCCTTTCCTGAAACCAGCTTGCTGTGGAACCATAAATTAATCTTATTTTTTCAAAATTCTATGCAGAATAAGCTTCTCCAGAACTTTTATAGAGATAGCACAACAGGGAGATTGGTCTATAGCTTTTTGGATCATCTGGTCTTTGCCTGATTTCAAGATGGCTATGACTTTTGCTTTCCTCCAGGTTTTAGGGATCTGACAGGATGCAATGCAGTTGTTCAGCAGCCAGCACCTTACTTTTGGGCCAAAGTTCTTAATTTGTTCCATCCGTAGATCATCCAGGACAGCTGCTTTGCTATTTTTACATTTATTGAGAGCCATTTCCAATTTGGTAGATATGGTTCATGAAGGTTGTTCTCATTATCTGGTTGTCTATTGGTTTCCTCCCTATTCTTCAGAAGTTGATGTGCTATTTGATCTGGCATTACATTGGCATGGGTATTAGTTTGTAACGGATCATTGCTCAACTGTCTTAGCAGCCTCCCTGCCTTCTGACTACTCCTGCCCGTGTCAACTTCTGTTATCAGTGTTAGCGAATGCTTTCTTGGCTTCAGAGATGGAGGACAGAATGCTCTCAAGAGTTTGCTCACTAAATGGATCTTCATTGTGTAGCCTCTAATAGTCTTCCAACAAGGGAACTGTATCAGGAGTGATGCTCTGAAGGTAGTGTGTTCTGCAGCCTCTCTGTATAGAAGTCTGTGAGCAGGTTTTTACTATTTTGAGAAAGCAGTCTGCATTTCTGAAATTGAATCTTCGTTTAAATCGAACTTCCTGAGCCCTGAGTTGGAAACAATTGGCATATTATCAGCCAATGCTGTGTTTTTGGTGTTGTTCCCAATGCATTGTTGCACAATACTGTCACAAATAGGAGGTCTGGGTTATATCCTCAGTGCCATCTCCCACTGTTTTAGGATGTTGGGAGCTTACTATCATGAATAAGTGATAGTTTGTGCAATTCAGTCCAGGAAATGACCGCCTCTCAGTTTTTATCCTCCTGAGCATAGCCCCATCTGTGGCTATGGCTGTTGAAGTCACCAATTACTATTTATACTCATATAGATCCACCTTGACTTCTGCCTAGACCAGGGGTCCTCAAACTACGGCCCAGAGGCCACATGCGGCCTGCCGAGGGCATTTATCCAGCCAACTGAGGAGCAGGCAGAGCTCCTTTCGTTCTTTCTGTCTCCCCCTCATGCTCTCCCTCTTTCACAATATATAATTACATATTGTGTTTTTGATTAATCACTATGCTTTATGTTCAGTTTGCAACAATGAAAATACATCCTGCATACCAGATATTTACATTATGATTCATAAAAGTAGCAAAATAACAGTTGTGAAATTGCAATGAAAATAATTTTAGGGTTAGGGGTCACCACAACATGAGGAACTGTATTGAGGGGTTGCGGCATTAGGAAGGTTGAGAACCACTGGTGTATATGAAGAGGGGCCACCTGATGATGCACAGCTAAATTAGTGAAAAATAGAGTGCATCTATACTACAGAATTAATGCAGTTTGACACCAGTTTAACATGATGCAATGGAATCCTGGGATTTAAAATTTTATAAGCTTCACCTTTTCTACAAAAGATCAAACTGCAGCTCCAGGATTCCTTAACACTGAGTTAAAGTGGTTCTTCATTTTAAATACTGTATTTGTTCCTGTTTTGTTTTTTTACTTCAAAATAAGGTATGTGCAGATAGGAATTCGATAACAGCTTTTTAAAAAAAACTATAGTCCGGCCCACCAACGGTCTGAGGGACAGTGAACTGGCCCCCTGTTTAAAACGTTTGAGGACCCCTGGCCTAGACAGTTAATTTTCCTACCAAAAAAATGCACCCACCCAATTCCAGCTCGAAATACTGCCTCTTCAACAGGAGGTCCAATCAGGATTCGAGTCCCCGCCAACTACCGAAATCAAAGTTTTTTTGATCTGCGCATGCGCTGGCTGAGGGGGAAGCGAAAGCAAAGGCGCCTTGCCCCAGTGGCTACCTCTTCCGCTCCTTGGGCGGAAGGGCGGGCCGCCTCCCTTGGACTACAAGGCCCAGCTCGGAAAGGCCCGCCAGCTTGTGAGAGCCGGCAGCGTTGCATGCTGGGAATTGGAGTCTGTCGGGCCTGAGGGTGAGACGGCGCGGGCCTAGGGTCTGCTCTCTCGGTGGGGACGTCTTCTTCCGCGGCAGCTCCCCTGCCATGGCGGCCCGGGTGGACTTCGGGGACCGCGAGCTCTTCCAGCAACTGGACGCCGAGGTTGACGCCGCCGCCGCCGCCGCGCTTCACACCCGCTTCGGGGAGAGTGACGTGGAGGAGAGCGAGGAGCTCCGGCAGAGGCTGAACGAGAGCCAGGAGGCGGTGCGGACCCTGCAGGCCGAGAATATCCTCCGGCGCTGCAGCCGCGGATGAGGGCTCGTGCGGGAATGGCGGAGGGAGGGAGGCGCTTGTCACCACTGCTTCTGCTCCAAGTTGGGGCACAGCCTCTTGTGAGCCATTCGAACTCTTCTGAGGCCCCTTCCACACAGCTAAATAAACCCCCACATTGTCTGCTTTGAACTGAGATATATGGCAGCGTGGACTCGGATAATCCAGTTCAAAACAGATCTTGTGGGATTTTCTGCCTTGATATTCTGGGTTATATGGCTGTGCGGAAGGGCCCTGAGTCCACACTGCCATATAATCCAATATGGATTTTATACAGCTGTGTGGGAGGGACCAATGCCTCACCTGTTCAAGTGGGGCCAAACGGTGAATTCCACAGTCTAGAACCCATGTGGGCCACAGGCCTCACAGGGGCAGTTTGATTTGTAAGGGGAGAGTTATTAACCATGATTTCCTTTGCCTTTCTTATGGTTCCAGTAGCCTCATATACAGTATATAGAATCATAGGATCCTAGAGTTGGAAGAAACCTGGTGGGCCATTCAGTGCAACCCCTTTCAGCCAAGGAGCAGGAAAATCGCATTCAAACCACCCCCGACAGATGGCCTCCAGCCTCTGTTTAAAAGCCACCAAAGAAGGAGGACTCCACCACAGTTTGGGGCAGAATGAAATTTCCACTACTGAACAGCTCTGTCTCTCACCATGAGGAAGTTCTTCCTCATGTTCAGGTGGAATCTCCTTTATTTCCTGTAGTATGAAGCCATTGTTCCATAGTGTCCTAATCTCCAAGGCAGCAGAAAACAAGCCTGCTCCCCCAACATCTCCCTTTGATTGCAGTGCCCAGAATGGGACACAGTGTGATTCCAGGAGTGGTCTGACCAAGGCGGAATAGAGGGGAAGCATGACTTCCCTGGATCTAGACACTAGACTCCAGTTTATGCAGGCCAAGATCTTATTGGCTTTTTTAGCCACCATAGCACATTGTTGGCTCGTGTTCACCTTCCTCCTCGCGAGGACTCCCAAGATCTTTTTCACACGTCCTTATCTTGCGTTTGTCTCTGTTGAACTTCCTTTTGTTAGTTTTGGCCAATCATCTCTTTAATCTGTTAAGATCCCTCCCAATTTGGTCCCGTCTCCAAACTTTATGATCATACCTTCTAACTCTTCATCTAAGTAAATATATATTGTGACATACACCTTTAAAAAATAAAATCCGGTTATGTGAGGCCCCTTCCACACAGCTGAATAAAATCCCACATTATGTGCTTTGAACTGGAATACATGGCAGTGTGGACTCAGATGACCCAGTCCAAAGCAAATATTGTGGATTTTCTGCATTGATATTCTGGGTTATACCGCTGTGTGGAAGGGTCTGGAGATTGCAGAAAAGAAAGCCTGCTCATAGAGAGGAAGGAGTAGGGAGATTCTAGAGTGAACTAGAGATGCAGGAATCCAGAAAAGGGAGGACACTTTCATGCCAAACACCCCACTCCTCTCAGTGTTCTTTTGATGTGACAAACCATACAAAATATATAAGGAAGTCTTTGGACCCTTCCACACATCCATATAACTCAGAATATCAAGGCAGATAATCCACAATGTTCTGTCATTTTCTCACCAAATACGTGCATTGAAGCGGGACACTTAAGTTACCCTGCATTCGAGACAGATGACTCAAATCCATTCATTCTTTTATTTTTCTCTTTCATGGATGCCGTGTTCTTTGGAAATTTATTTTAGGCTTCCTCAGTGTGAATAAACAGGAGTTTATTTTTTGAGTAATAAGAATTATATGTTGTGGGGGGAGGTCAGGATTTTAGAGAGGCTAAGGTGGGGCATGGTCACAAAAAGGTTGGGAACCACTGGTCTAGCTGTACCCTATGCCTTGCATAACATTATGTAACAAAATTTGAAAAATGTTCTGTTCCTGGTTTGAAAGTATTATTTCCTATTTAATTGTGCAGTCCTTACTTTGAAAACTGTTGTTCTACTCCAGAAAGTTTGTTTTTGTGGCTGCCACGAACTAAGTTGAAGTGATTGAGATTCTGAGATATTGATTGAAAAACTATGTTGCAGAATGTCCCGGAAAAACAAAGTTTTTGTATTTTAATAAACCTTTGTATTAAACCAGGACTTGAGGGCCATGCAGAGCCCCTATTACTACCACCGAAGAAAGTTGCCTCATCTGTTTGTCTTATGATTCTTTTTTTGCTACCAAGGGAAACAATTTGTGTAAAGTTCATGCTTTCACACTGAGGTAGTTAGGCGCTGAGAACATGACCAACACAATTGTGGCTGAGGGCTGGTTTAAAAATGTACTTTCCTTCCACAGTTATCGTTTCAGTGCTTGTTAACATATACATCTAGAATGGGTAGGAATCATGTAGCCTTTCATATTGGCTGCTTCAAATCCAAGCAATTCTAGATACATTGCCAATGGTGAGGAACTCTGGAAGTTGTAGTTTGATGACTTCTGGAGTGGCGCATTATTCCCACTCTGGAATCTACGGCCTTGGACTAACGAAAAATAGTTACTGATTGTACATGCAGTTCAAGGCTGTGGCAATAATTCCAGATTGATTGTTATGATTTTTTAAATTTTAAATTCCTTAACTAAATGATTCACATCGCGAACTTAGAAGAAAACTGAACATACTGACTCGGCCAAGGTAGGTGTACATGGTTCCGTATATGTACATTTTTTGGTTTATGATTCAGTAGCTATGATCCACAGGCCTACATGAAGCTCCTTTGTTTTTCAGAAGTGTTGTCTGGTGTTATAAATGCATGACATAATGGAGTTGATAGTTGTACTTTGTTGTTCTTTTTACCATTATTTAAAAAGGGGTTAAATATGTTACATGCACCAGAATCCCCTTGTGATGGTGAAGCTCCTTGTACAGGTTTGGGGACTTCAGTTGTATCTTGGAAATTATTGTTTTGTTTGTTGTTGTTGTTCATTCGTTCAGTCGTCTCCGACTCTTCGTGACCTCATGGACCAGCCCACGCCAGAGCTCCCTGTCGGCCGTCACCACCCCCAGCTCCTTCAAGGTCAGTCCAGTCACTTCAAGGATGCCATCCATCCATCTTGCCCTTGGTCGGCCCCTCTTCTTTGCCTTCCACTTTCCCCAGCATAATTGTCTTCTCTAAGCTTTCCTGTCTCCTCATGATTTGGCCAAAGTACTTTAACTTTGTCTCTAGTATTTTTCCCTCCATGAGCAGTCGGGCTTTATTTCCTGAAGATGGACTGGTTGGATCTTCTCAAGGCATCTCAGAACTTTCCTCCAACACCACAGTTCCAAAGCATCGATCTTCCTTCGCTCAGCCTTCCCTAAGGTCCAGCTCTCACATCCGTAGGTTACTACAGGGAATACCATGGCTTTGACTAGGCGGATCTTTGTTGCCATTCTGATGTCTCTACTCTTTACTATTTTATCGAGATTGGACATTGCTCTCCTCCCAAGAAGTAAGCGTCTTCTGCTTTCCTGGCTACAGTCTGCATCTGCAGTAATCTTTGCACCTAGAAATACAAAGTCTGTCACGGCCTCCACGGTTTCTCCCTCTATTTTCCAGTTGTCAATCATTCTTGTTGCCATAATCTTGGTTTTTTGACGTTTATCTGCAACCCGGCTTTTGCGCTTTCTTCTTTCACCTTGATTAGAAGGCTCCTCAGCTCCTCCTCGCTTTCGGCCATCAGAGTGGTGTCATCTGCATATCTGAGGTTGTTAATGTTTCTTCCAGCAATTTTCACCCCAGCTTTGCATTCATCCAGCCCCGCACATCGCATGATGTGTTCTGCATACAAGTTAAAAAGGTTGGGTGAGAGGATGCAGCCTTGCCGGTCGCCTTTCCCAATCTTGAACCAGTCTGTTGTTCCGTGGTCAGTTCTGACTGTTGCTACTTGGTCCTTGTACAGATTCCTCAGGAGAGAGACAAGGTGGCTTGGGATGCCCATCCCACTAAGAACTTGCCACAATTTATTATGATCCACACAGTCAAAGGCTTTAGAATAGTCAATGAAGCAGAAGTAGATGTTTTTCTCAAACTCCCTGCCTTTCTCCATTATCCAGCGGATATTGGCAATCTGGTCTCTCGTTCCTCTGCCTTTTCTAAACCCAGCTTGAACATCTGGCAACTCTCGCTCCATGTATTGCTGGAGTCTTCCTTGCAGGATCTTGAGCATTACCTTACTGGCATGAGAAATAAGGGCCACTGTACTGAAGTTTGAGCAGTCTTTCGCATTTCCCTTTTTTGGTATGGGGATATAAGTTGATCTTTTTCCAGTCTGATGGCCATTCTTGTGTTTTCCATATTTGCTGGCAAATGGCATGCATCACCTTGACAGCATCATCTTTTAAGATTTTAAACAGTTCAGCTGGGATCCCGTCGTCTCCTGCTGCCTTGTTGTTAGCAATGCTTCTTAAGGCCCATTCAACCTCACTCCTCAGGATGTCTGGTTCTAATTCATTCACCACACCGTCAAAACTATCCTCGATATTATTATCCTTCCTATACAGATCTTCTGTATAGTCTCGCCACCTTCTCTTGATCTCTTCAGCTTCTGTTAGGTCCCTGCCATCTTTGTTTCTTATCATACCAATTTTTGCCTGAAATTTACCTCCAATGTTTCTAATTTTCTGGAAGAGGTCTCTTGTCCTTCCTATTCTATTGTCTTCTTCCACTTCCATGCATTGCTTATTTAAAAATAGTTCCTTATCTCTTCTGGCTAACCTCTGGAATTGCGCATTTAACTGGGCATATCTCCCCTTATCCCTGTTTCCTTTTGCTTTCCTCCTTTCTTGGGCTACTTCCAGTGTCTCAGCAGACAACCATTTTGCCTTCTTGGTTTTTTTTTTCTTTGGGACGTACTTTGTTGCCGCCTCCTGAACAATGTCTCGGACCTCTGTCCATAGTTCTTGTTTTGTTATCAGTCACTTAGATGTGTTGTGGTCCCCGAAGAAGACTAGCAAATCAGGTTTTCACAGTTGTTACAGTTCTCTTTGGGTATTAATTTGGCACTTGTGGCATGTTTCATCAATGCAGAATGAATGTTAGCTTTTAAGCTGTCCTTTGCATGCTGAACTGCGTTCCTGTGATGGATAAAGTGGGCATAAAGCTCCCAAGCCATCTCAGAGACATTCTGGAGGGTTGGCTAATTCCTACTGTAAAGCCTTATGCTTCCTTTTTTAGTGGACTTACAATAGATGATGCTAAAGTTGATGGGCCTTTGCTGCAGATTTTATCCATGAACAATAGTGTATCCAAGTAAGTATATTTCTCATATTGGTTTAAGTTCATTGGTCAGAATAGTTGGCTCTACAGCGCACAATTTTGGCTGTTGGAAGCCTTCTTAACTAAGACTATGGGGCAATGTTTTTTCAATGAGAACTGGAGACAGGGAGGGAAAACATGCATAACTATTTATTTTATTTTAAAAAGTTGGGTATTCTTTGGCCAGGTATAAAAAAGAGGACAGGTTTAGTTAGATGTTTAAGGAAAAGTTATTCAAAACTTCCCTTAGTAGCCTTGATTTCTTGAGGTTTACTAACTGTCAGAAAAAATAAATTGTTTACAACATGAAAATGACTTGAATTTCTACAATGTGACCCCAGCCCTGCATAGGAACAAGTGTTTCTGTGCTTTGGTTTATGTTTCTCTCTCTCTCTCTCTCTCTTGTCCTCAACTAAGGGAACCTAGGGATATGCTTTATCATCTTCTAACACAGACAGGGTGGTTTTATCTCTTCTCTGTTCTGATGATCTCTTGTGTAGGCAATATCATCAAGAAATAGAGGATTTTATAGTGAGTTTGGTTCAGAGATATGAGGAGCAACAGAGGGCTGAATCTGACAAGACCTACTTCAATGTTAAGCCACAGGTATTTATATGTTAACCAACTTGGGTACCCGGCGTTGCCTGGGTTATTTGAAAAAGTCAATTCACTTCAGGCCAGGTTAACCCCAAGAAACTCCATCAGTACTTAAAGTTTGTTATGTTGTGGAAGTTTGCTCTGGATGCATCATTGGTGGGGTTCAGTGTGCTCTCTGGCTGTAGAGTAAACTGCAACTCCCACTGTGGTGAGTCACTCCCCTCAAACCCCTCCAGTTGGTTGTTAGTCATGGGGGTTCTGTGTTACAAGTTTGGTCCAGGTCCATCATCGGTGGAGGTCACTGATTCTCTGGTTGTGGGTGAACTACAACCCCCAGAAAGGAAGGTCAGTTCCCCTAAACTCCTCCAGTAATCACATTTCAGCATATCAGGTATATGTGCCGAGTTTGGTCCAGATCCATCAGTGTTTGGTTTCACAGTGCTCTCTGGATGTAGATGAATTACAACTCCTCCAAATCAAGGTGAATTTTCCCCAAAGAACTCCTGTATTTTTTGCTGGTCCTGGGGGCTCTGTGTGCCAAGTTTGGTCCAATTCCATCTTTGCTGGAATTCAGAGTGCTCATTGATTGTAGGTGAACTATAAATCCCAGTACCTACAACTCCAAAATGTCCATGCCAATTCCCCTCAAAATCCAACAGTATTCAAATTTGGGAATTTCGGGTATGCATGCCAAGCTTTGTCCAGATCCCTCGTTGTTAGGGTTCATAGTGCTCTCTGGATGTAGATGAACTACAACTACTTTAAATCCTTCCAAAGACCTCCAGTATTTTTTGTTGGTCATGGGAGTTCTGTGCGCCAAGTTAGTTCCAGGTTTATTGTTGGTGGAGGTCAGAGTACTCTTAGACTGCAGGTGAACTATACATCCCACTACATACTACAGCTTCTATAAATCATGTTGAATTCTTTCCAAACCTCTCTGGTACATTCAGTTGCTGATCAATTCCCCTGGGTGCCTTCCTAAGAACCTATGATGTGGCAATAAAGGCCACACAGAAATCATTTCTTGCGGCTAGTATTGCGTCTGCAAAAAAAAAAAAATCCGGCTGAGCTGTTCCGAGTTGTCAGGGGGCTGTTAAATCTGCCCCAGAGCGAAACCCCTGATAACTCGGCAACTCTCTGTGAAGCATTTGATCAGTTCTTTGTGGACAAAGTCGATCTGATCCACTCCTGACTTTGACACCACGTTAACAGCAGTCTCTGAGGATGTAGTACGAGCACATGCTTGTCTGGTTTTGAAGAATTTGTTTCAATTAGTTCAGCTCAATGACACAGACAATATCCTTGGAGAGGCGAGGCTTACCACATGCATCCTAAACCCCTGTCCTTCCTGGCTGATAAAAGAAGTCAGAGAGGTTTTGGCAGAGTGGATTAAGGTGGTGGTTGATGCCTCCCTACAGGAGGGCAAGATTCCAGCAAGCTTAAAACAAGGTGTTATAAAACCGTTGTTGAAAAAACCACCACTAGACCCTACTCAATTAGTGGACTATCGGCCAGTTTCCAATTTCCCCTACTTGGGCAATGTCATGGAATGTGTGGGGGCCTCTCAGCTTCAGGGGTTCTTGGAAGACACTGACATCTAGATCCGGCACAGTCTGGCTTTAGGCTGGGTCATAGAATTGAAACAGCCTTGGTCGCCTTGGTAGATGATCTATGCCGGGAACTAGACGGGGGAGTGTGTTCCTGTTGGTTCTGTTGGACCTCTCAGCGGCCTTCAATAGTGTTGACCACGGTATCCTTCTGGGATACCTCTCAGGTATGGGACTTGGTGGTACTGTTTTGCAGTGGCTCTAGTCCTTCCTGGAGGATTGGTCCCAGAAGGTGTTACTGGGTGACACTTGTTCGACCCCACAACTTTTGTCTTGTGGAGTCCCACAGGGTTAAGTACTGTCCCTGATGTTGTTTAACATCTACATGAAGCCTCTGGGGGAGATCATCCGGAGTTTCGGAATATGGTGTTATCTCTGCGGATGGTGTCCAAATCTGTCACTTCTTTCCACCCATCACCAAGGACTTTGAACGGGTGCTTGGCAGCAGTTTGGATGAGAGCTAACAAATTGAAATTGAATCCAGACAAGACGGAGGTATTCCGGGTCAGTCGAAAGGCCGAACAGAGCATAGGGTTACAGCCTGTGTGTTACACTCACCCTGAAAACTCAGGTTTGCAGCTTGGAAGTGATCCTGGATTCATCACTGATCCTGGAACCCCAGGTCTGGCAGTGGCCAGGGGAGCTTTCGCACAGTTAAAACTGTGAGAAGTCTAATCTGGCCACAGTGGTCCACGCTGTGGTTACATCCCAAATAGATTACTGCAATGCACTCTAGGTGGGGTTGAATTTGAAGACGGTTCAGAAACTCCAACTAGTCCAATGGGCGGCAACCGGATTACTAACTGGAGTGACATACAGGGAACATACTACCCCTCTGTTATATCAGCTCCACTGGCTGCCGGTCCACTTCCGAGCACAACTCAAAGTGCTGGTCTTGGCCTATAAAGCCCTATATGGTTTTGGCCCAGCTTAACCGTCCAAATGTATTGCCCTCTACATTCCACCTCGGAATTTAAATTGTCCGGGGAGGCCCTGCTCTTGGTCCCGCCATCTTCGCAAGCGCGTTTGGCGGGGATGAGGGACAGGGCCTTCTCAGTGGTGACCCCCCGCCTGCGAAATGCTCTCCCTAGCGAAATTAGGTTGGCTTCATCCCTTCTCTCCTTTAGAAAGAAACTTAAAACATGGTTTTGGGACCAGGCATTTGGACAGTAGGTTTGGCAGTATTCACAATGTTTGAACTCTGACAAGGACAGGCTTTGGACCGAATTGTTGGTTGCTGTATCAGATTTGGATTTGGCTACATGATGAATAATAATATTTTGATGTATTTTAATCCAATGTTTTATCTTTTGCATGTTGTTGTAATGTGTTTTGTCTGTTGTCGGCATAGAATTGTGGCCATTGTAAGCCGCCCTGAGTCACCTTTCGGGGGTTGAGAAGGGGTAGAAATGTTGGAAATAAATACTTATTTGCTGTGTGGCATAGAAAAGGATAGGAAAGGGTGAAGGGAGAGACAGTGGTCAGGGTCATACAAATTCCACAGCAATGGAGAGCGTCAGAAACACTGGGAAGTCTGTGGTGGAGGAAACACATAAAATCTAGGATGAAATTGTCCCTGAATGAAAGCCTTCACTTGGGTAGCGGGCAGTATGGTGTTTGTGGAGGACATTGGCAAGGCTCATGGACATGTTCATGGTGCTCACTATAAGGTGCAGTGTCATTGGAGGGAGTGCCATTGATGTCTCCTGAGTAGTGTGAGCTATAGCTGTTTGTGGAGGCAGGAGCTTGTCTGTGTAAGTGGATGACCCAGCCACATACATGCATATATATTTTCACTTTAAGTGGACACTCCAGCCACATACACGCATACATATTTTCACTTGTATTATGTGTATAAATGGAGGAGGTTTGACATAAGGGCATGTGTTGGTATTGTGAGAAACCAGCTCTGGAGGCTTTCATTGTTGAAGGAGGGCATATATGATTCCTCCCTAGCTCTGCTATACAATGTCTTTTCCACCAGTGAAACCCACATCTGATGCATACAAAAATATGATATCTGACTGAGCGGTGTCCCATACTAGAGAACCATAGACCCTTCAATGCCTTCTTGGGAGTTTTTTTTTTTATATATATAAGAGCTTCTCAATTTACATTTCTGGAGATGGAGGATACAGTATCATGTTTGAAATTATGCCATTAGTTCAGAGGCTCCATCAGTGAGATTTTGTGCTGAGATTGGAAGAGAGAATGTTGGTCAAGGATCGGGAAGACCGTGGCCTAAACTGTGTTGTCCTCCTCTCTCTAGCATGGCCAAAGTTAGGGATGACCAAAATTGAAGTACAGTAATTCTTGGAAGAACCGCAGTTCCCCACCTTGATATGTATGTTCCAGGAGTGAGTTCAGGCCTAAAGGGTTGCAAGGGAGAATATATGGAAGTCTATACTTCACTATTGGATGATGATAACCGTAACCTTTTATAAACTATGTCTTGTTTTCTTTTATTTTTGAAAAAAAATTAGCCTTCTAGTTTTGTGTTGGAAGAAGACCCTAAAGTGACAAGCGCAAATATGTCCAAAAAAATCAAGGAAGCATTTAGCGTAAGTTACTTCTCTACTTTGCTTATCTGAATCCAATATTTGCTGTTTTCCAACTATGGTACTAGGACAGAATTGGTAAATAACATAATTCTTCTTGCCATTTATTATTTTTATTAGTAAATGTTATATCCCTTATCAGTTGACTGGGTGTATGGAATATAAGGTCTCATTTGTGAAGCCTAAACACGAGAGCCATTATTTTAATGTACTTAATTATATCACAGTAGAATTTAAATGAAATATTTAAGTACATTTTTTTAAAAAAATGTTTTCTGCTCGCTTGATGCAATACTGACATTTCTGACTCTTTCTGCAGGTTGTAGGAAGTGTTCTCTATTTTACCAATTTTTGTCTTGATAAACTGGGGCAGCCTATATTAAATGAGAATCCTCAGCTGACAGACGGATGGGAAATACCCAAGTATCCTATTTAGTTCAATGTCATTCCCTTTTTGTGCTAACCTTGCTATTTAATGCAATCAGTAGTAAAAGAGATTGAGTCGATCTGCATATTTTGAATGGGTTAACTGTATAAAATGGGTCAAATGTTAGAAGGCATATTGGTTTGGTGAAGAAATAATCCCTGGCAGACAGATTCCTTTGTTGTCTCTTATTTTTGCATTTCCAGAAAGAATAATATATAAGTAGGCTTAGACTCTGCTTGAAAGAGGAGGCAAGTTTTCAACACCGATGAAGCCACTCTTTCAAGCAGAATCTCACCATCACTTTATCAGGAACGATTCTGGTATTACTTTTTTTTAAAAAAAAAGTCTATAATAATACTTTGGGTTGTAGTTTGAATGACACTGGAACAAAACAATCAATTCTGCTTCATACAATAGCAATTCCTTATTGACTTCTAAGATACCAGCAAGTTTTCACGCAGATCCTTTCTCTAGATGGACAAGAGATACAAGTAAAGCCTAAAAGGTGTGTATTTCTCTGAGCTTATCAAGATTTCTAGTCAAAACCTGAAGTGGTTAGTTACAGGTTAAGATAGTTACATGTGACTTGGAATAAATGTATGTTCCCTAATTAATTAACGTGATAAATGTGTTGTCGAAAGCTTTCATGGCTGGAATCATTGGGTTGCTATGAGTATTCCAGGCTGTCTGGCCATTTTCCAGAAGCATTCTCTCCTGATGTTTCACTCAGGTCTATGGCAGGCATCCTCAGAGGTTGTGAGGTCTGTTGGAAACAAGGCAAGTGGGGTTTATATACCTGTGGAATAATATTCAGGGTGGGAGAAAGAACTCCTGTCTGTTGGGGGCATGTGGGAATGTTGCAGTTGGCCACCTTGATTAGCATTGAATAGCCTTACAGCTTCAAAGTTTGGCTGCTTCCTGCCTGGGTGAATCCTTTGTTAGGAGGTGTTAGCTAGCCTGTATACCATGCAGCTGTGGACAAGTCTACATAAGGACCATCAAACACATCACCCAAACTCGAATCAAGCAACATGAAAGGCACTGCAGACTAATTCAACCAGAGAAGTCAGCCATAACAGAGCACCAGATGAACCAATCTGGACACAGCATATTATTTGAGAACACAGAAATGCTGGACCACTCTAACAACCACCATGTCAGACCACACAGAGAAGCCATTGAAATCCACAAGCATGTGGACAATTTCAACAGAAAGGAGCAAACCATTAAAATGAACAAAATCTGGCTACCAGTATTAAAAAAACTCTAAAATCAGGACACTAAATAAAGAGCAACATTCAGAAAACAGGGCAATTCCAGACAGTAAACAATCAGGACAGCTAACACCTCCCAACAAAGGATTCCCCAGTGTCCCTGATTGTTTCCTGTCTGAAATTCCCCTGTTTTCTGGGTGTTGCTCTTTATTTAATGTCCTGATTTTAGAGTTTTTTAATACTGGTAACCAGATTTGGTTAATTTTAATTGTTTCCTCCTTTCTGTTGAAATTGTCCACATGCTTGTGGATTTCAATGGCTTCTCTGTGTAGTCTGACATGGTGGTTGTTGGTGTGGTCCAGCATTTCTGTGTTCTCAAATAATATGCTGTGTCCAGGCTGGTTCATCAGGTGCTCTGCTATGGCTGACTTCTCTGGTTGAAGTAGTCTGCAGTGCCTTTCATGTTCCTTGATGCATGTCTGGGCGCTGCGTTTGGTGGTCCCTATGTAGACTTGTCCACAGCTGCATGGTATACGGTAGACACCTGCAGAGGTGAGAGGATCCCTCTTGTCCTTTGCTGAACCTAGCATTTGTTGGATTTTCTTGGTGGGTTTGTAGATTGTTTGTATGTTGTGTTTCCTCATCAGCTTCCCTATGCGATCAGTGGTTCCCTTGATGTAATGCAGGAACACTTTTCCTCTTTTCCCTTGATGTATGGCAGGAACACTTTCCACTTTTCCACCCAGATTTTAGATGTCCTGATTTTAGAGTTTTTTAATACTGGTAACCAGATTTGGTTAATTTTAATTGTTTCCTCCTTTCTGTTGAAATTGTCCACATGCTTGTGGATTTCAATGGCTTCTCTGTGTAGCCTGACATGGTGGTTGTTAGAGTGGTCCAGCATTTTTGGGTTCTCAAATTAATATATTGTCTCTGGTTTGGTTAATCAAGTGCTCTGCTATGGCTGACTTCTCTGGTTGAATCAGTCTGCAGTGCCTTGATTTGTGTTTGGGCGCTGCATTTGGGGGTCCATATGTAGACTTGTCCACAGCTGTATGGTATATGGTAAACTCCTGCAGAAGTGAGAGGATCTCGCTTATACTTTGTTGAACATAGCATTTGTTGGATTTTCTTAGTGGGTCTGTAGATACTTTGTAGGTTGTGTTTCTTCATCAGCTTCCCTATGCAGCCAGTGGTTCCTTTGATGTCTGGTAAGAACATTTTTCCTCTGGGTGGAGCTTTGACTTTCTTCTCGAGACTTGTTCTTGGTCTTGCAGCTCTTCTGATGTCTATGGCGGAGTCTCTGTTGATCTATAGATGTGGGCAAAACGTCAGGAGAGAATACTTCTGGAAAACGGTCATACAGCCCAGAAAACTCACAGCAACCCAACTTGATAAACTCTTTTAGAAGCATATATTGAGCTCCTCTCTTTAGAAGTGTATTAAAATAGATTGAACCAGTTTTTGAATATTGATTTTTTTTAAAAAAAGAGATTTACTCAGGTCTATAACTTGAGGTACTTCTATGTGCTTTAAGTAGACATGTAAGTAGTTATCCCCCAAATCTTTTGAATTTCAAAGCTCTGATGCTGTTGAAACATGGCAGTGCCTTTTTAGAGCTGCCTTAATGACCAGACCATGGTGGGATGCAATTTTCTCAAGAGTCCCTGCTCTTTTAGCTTGCTCTGGTTCCTTCCTTCCATTCCTTGCATTCAGGCAATCATTTCCTTCCTGACTGAAACCGGAACGTGTGGTTCGAAGCCGGTTTCCAATTCAGATTTGGGGAAAACCTTTTAAGTTTTAAAAATCTTGTCGTTACACCTGATTATAGTCTTTCCTACTCCTGGACTATTATGAGTTGGGTTTCATTACTGGCATTTCTTACATATTATTAAATACAGATTTAATCAAGAGGCATTTTTGTTTCCAGTATTTGGTTTGCTAGTATTGTAACATTCTTAAAGTGCATTCTTTTAAACGCCATTATTCCATAGCTGTTGGAGTGCTTCTCTGCGAGCACTGTTATCACATCTGAGTCTAGGCTTAGAATTGTAGTTTTTCAAACAGATTTTCAAAAGGGCACTGTAAACATAAGACAGGAGCGGGAATTACGGAGCCCCTGAGATGTTGATGGACTACACCTCTCAGTATTCTCAGCATTGGCTAAGGTCGCTGAGATGTGCAGTTCTATATCATCCATAGGGTTGCATGGTTCCTGCCCCAGTGTAAGGTATTATTGCAATGTTGACTGTTTCTATTGTAAAATTCTTACTTTTATAAAGCAGGCCCAAACCTCACTGCTTCAACTGTGGCTTGGAGGACCACCAAATGAAAGATTGTCCACAGGTAAAGATACTTCAGGCTTCTCCTACTCTATCCCCAGAGGGATGGTAACATATTATCTGGAGTGGGTGAATTTGCAAGTCTTTGGCAAAATCAGAGATCACATTTGCACAACCCGTTTCTGCCTTGCGACTTACAAGATAATGATGCTTGGTAAAATAGAAGGCAGCAGGGAAAGAGGGAGCTCGGGGATCGTGGCATTATCTCATTCATTGGGTGCCATTAGTCAGAGATGGCAAAAAACAAAAACAAAAAACAAAACAAAAAACAAACAACAGTAATATTCCAGGTTTAAGACAGTGTTTTTATTACCAAAGACCCACGATCAACTAAATGGTAAATCCTATAGTTTCAATTGGCCTACTGTATAAATATATATATACATTTAAACATACATAATTTGCAGTATACAATGTTATAGAAATATAACTTTTTACAGAAAAAGTGAATTTATTTTATATTATATTTATATGCATTTAAATATACAGGGGTGGGTCAGAAAGCTTTGCCTCTTGTGTCGTGAAAATGTTATGAATGAACATATTACAGCAGAAGTGGCTACAGATCATAGCCTGAACTTTATGCAAAACTACCGCTATAGTCACGATCGGTTTGGACATATTTACACCATTGTTTAACCCAGGCATCAAAACCATTTTGGCAAAATTCAGGGTTTTGCTTTGTGACCCATGATTTCAAAGCTGTTTGAACATCATTCAGGTCATTGAATCTGAAACCACGTAGGTTGTCTTTCAGAGGTCCAAACAGGTCAAAGTCAGAAGGGGTCAAATCATAAAAATTCTTCAAGTGATGATGGATTTCCTTAGGTGCACAACCTTCTTTGGCCAGAAATTCAATGATGACTCTTTCTTTTAGCTTCAGATTCATGGTTCTAACCAGTCTATTGGAAAAAGAAAAGACCATATCAGTAGAAGAAGGTGATCACTATAATAACATGCATAAGTAGTCCAGTAGCTGGCAAAGAAAGCAAAGTTAGAGTGATGGAGGCATTTCTTTTTGAACCACCCTCATATATATATGTGTGTGTTTATTTTTTTCTGTAAAAATAAATCAGTGCTACTTTATTGAAAGAAGCAGAATGCAGTTTATTAACAGCCTTTTCAGTGCTCCTGGTAACTTGACTTCCTGGGTTTTTTTCCAACTGTGTTTCAGCCACGAAATGCTGCCCGTATCAGTGAAAAAAGAAAAGAGTTTTTGGATGCTTGTGGGGAAGCAAATAACCAAAACTTCCAGCAGCGGTACCACACAGATGAAATAGAAGAAAGATTTGGAAGGTTTAAGCCAGGAATAATTAGGTAATCCTTCCTTAGCTAAATGACTATGTTTTCTTGAAATCTGGCTGCTCAATTGAAATGGCTCAAGTCCTAGTATTCAGGTCCTTTGTATTTCTAATAAGGGTTTTTTTCCCCCTCTTCAAACAGTGAGGAACTTCAAGATGCTCTCGGTGTCACCGAGAAGAGTCTTCCCCCTTTCATCTATCGCATGCGGCAGCTGGGTTATCCCCCAGGCTGGCTGAAAGAGGCAGAAATGGAAAAGTCTGGACTGACATTATATGATGGAAAAGGTAAAGGAGTGCGGAAGAAGGGCTTGTCTTCTGCGTTTCCATGACCCTGTTGAAAGCCTTCTGAAAAAATTAATATTAGTAGTAGTATTTATACCCCACTTTTTCTCTGCTAAAGGAGATCCGACGCCACTAACATTAAAAACCATAACAGTGTGTTTGACTGCACAGTTTCTAGTTTCACTCCACTGTTTTCTAATTAAAGTAGACAAATTTATTGAAAACAGTACAGATTTCAACTGCATTCTGATGCCTTAAGAATTGACCATAAGTGCACTCGCTTAGCTCAAGTATCATTTTCCAATATGGTTATATAGTTAATGTTCTTGTCCACTCATTACAGGGTTTTAATTGCAGCTCTATGCTTTAGAGAAATAAAATGTTGGCTGCTCTATGTTGAACCTACAACCCCTAATAGGATTTTAAAAATGGATTTCCCCCCTCCTGGATCAAATCCCACTAGCTTGAGATCTCTTTCATTGTCTTTAGGTAATGACTGGCCCTCTCTTTAAGGAACAGCTTGGGGACTTGTGCCTTTTGAGCTCATCCAAATGGTGTTACAGTTATCAGTTCTGAATACATCAAAGTGATATGTAAGGCAATGGTTGATCGGTTACCCAGACCCATATAAAGGAGTGAAAGAATCTGTGCACTCTGACACTTGGTGGTTAGAAGCTACAGTACAGTCTCATTTATCCAACATAAATGGGCCAGCAGAATGTTGAATAAACGAAAATGTTGGATAACAGTCTCCTACTGTTACCTGTCCAATGCGGTGCTAGATAACTAGAATACTAACAACAGGGACTCAAAGGGTTAAGGCAAGCCAACATCATGGGGCTAGAGCAGCCCAGCAGGAAGTGCCTGGATGCAGAAGAAGACTGTGGAAATCACAGAGGGAAGGAGGGAGAACACTTCCGCTTCCGGTCCTTCCCCTTTTCCCCCTTTCCTCCCTCCTCCTCCTTGTCTTGCCTTTTTCACTTATTGGGAATGGAGAGAGAGTTGGGGAGCACTCCTTTAATTGAAGGGGAAATGCTGGAGGAAAAGGGAGGCATTGGATAAGAACGTCGGATAAGACGGAATGTTGGATAAGTGAAGGTCAGATAAACAAGATTCTACTGTACTTGTATATTGCTGATACATTTGCCAAGCCCTGTCTAGTTAGTGGTGTCAGTAATATGTTTGATGCTTCTGTACAGCATCACCTGGGGATGAAGCCGAGGAGGAGGAGGATTACAGTCACAATCGACGTGTCACATACGACATCTCCAAGCTGATAAATTATCCTGGTTTTAATATGTCCACTCCAAATGGAGTAACAGATGTAAGTAGCAGTGTTTATGTGTTGATTCTTTCCATCCTCCAAAGGATTGAGGCTAGCAGACATGGTTCTTGGGTGCATTGGCTCTCTGGGATTCCTTTTGAAGTGTATTTTGAAGGGTTGTGTGCACCCATATGCATCTGCCTGGACGTTGAGGACAGCATTGAAGATCCTGATCTCTGGTCTGACATTAAGAAAAATCAATTGAAAGGGGGAACTAAGTACCCTCCTGTGGTGGAAGGTATTCCAAAGACTATAATAATCACTCTAGTGAAAGAAGATCAAAATAAAGTTTAAACTATGGCCAACCAAAAATCAAAGATAGAAAAAGAACAAAAAGAATATAAAACACTGCCCAGGAGAACCTCAATGGCTGAGTACATAAGTATGAAGGACGTTATGCGTGAGATTCAAAACTTATCAGAAAAACAAGACAACTTACAAAAAGAATTTCAGGCAATGGTAACAAAACATGATCTACAACAAAAAGCTATACAGGAGGAAGTACTTGAAATGAAAAAAGAACTAAAAGACGAGATGGGTACCATGAAAACTGAACTAACCAAGGCATTGGGAGACATAAAAGACCTACAATCAGACAATATGAAAATAGAGAAAGCTCAAATAAAAACTAAAAAAAAGTTAGAAAATTTGGATAATAAAAATGTTAAGCTTGAAAGAATGCAAGAAATATTAGAGTTAAACTAAATGGAATTTCAATTAAGATTTCAAAATGTTATGGAAGAGATGAAAGAAAACATTCGTGAAGTTATGGTTCAACTGATGGCAAAACTCCTCCAGCTTCCTGAACAAGAAGTTGATGTGGAGATAGATCGAGTTTTCAGAGTACAAACTAATTATGCGAAAAGAAATAAGGTCCCAGGAGACATTATAGTAAATTTTGTCAGGAAGAGAACAAGAGATGAGGTGTTAAAACAAAATAATTTGAAACCAGTTTTCTACAAAGAGAATAAAGTAATTATCCTTAAAGAGTACTTCCTCTCAACATTGAACAGATGACAAAAATATTTTTTTTCTAACTGATGAGCTCAAAAGATTGAATATAAGATTTCAACGGGAAATAAATGAAGGCATCATGACTACCTATGAGAAATTTTGACTTACATCTGAGGAAAAATCAAAAGATTTCTACAAAAGATTAAATAAGGAGAAAGATTTTAGAAGCCCACAAGAATCCCTGGAGAAAAAGAAAAAAACAAAAAGAAAGAGATTTCACTTCCCGGAAGAAGAAGCGACCTTAGGCCTGCAGTCAACCAATGAAGATGGAGGTGATGATGAGGATATAGATGATCCGGAAGAAGAACTAGATGGAAATAATGATGTCTGACTTTACCCAACTAATAAAATGCTACTCCAGTAACGTTAATGGCTTAATTTGCTGAACAAAAGAAAAAGGGGTTTTAATCAAATATTATGTGGAAAATATAATGTGATAGCTCTCCAAGAAACTCATATTAATCAAAAACACGTGGCCTACTTGACCCAAAAAAAATAGGAAAAGAATATTATTCCTCTTCACCAGAAAAAAAGAGAGGTGTTGTATTATATATAGATGAAAATATTCCATTGGAATTACAATTTAAAGATCAGGATGGTCAATTAGTAGCTGTCAAATTGAAAATTGGTTTGGAGAGTATTTTGGTCTGTAATATCTACACTCCAAATGGCCCAAAATCGAAATTTCTAAAGTTGCTAAGAGAAAAAATGTCAGCAGAACAATTTGACCATATCATAATTTTAGGGGATTTTAATGGAGTTATGGACAGAAAAATGGATAAGACAAAACAAAAAGAGTAAAAAGAGAAGACCCAAGCGTATTACCTAAAAATATTATGTCTCTGATGGAGGAATTTGATTTGTCTGATACTTGGCGCATTCACAACCCTGAAGAAAAAGATAATATCTCTTACTCCAATAGACACTCAAGTTGGTCTAGAATAGACATTATATGGTCATCAAAAACTATATGTTTGAAAGTAGGGAAAATTAAGTTGGGAAAATTAAAATTCTCCCTGGGGATTTATCATATCACATTAAGATGGTCATAAATTACAAAAGGAATACTAGAAAATGCTGTTTAAATGAGAACCTTTTGAAATTAGGAGAAGATATGAATAAGAATAAGGATATAACAAAGGAGTTATTTCAACTTAATGATAAACCAGAGATTAAAATACAAACAGTTTGGGATGCTTATAAAGCAGTAATGAGAGGCCACTTGATTCAACAGAATAGAAGGAGAAATAAAACAAATGTATGACATCAAATTAGAAATTTATAAAAATGAAAGAGAATTAAAGAATAACCCAGATAGTTGGAAGATAAGGAGGCAATTAGAGGTATTGAGGAAACAAAAACAAAATTTAGAAATGGAACAGATGGCAAAACAGTTAATATATATAAAACAATGCTCCTTTGAAAATGCTAATAAAACTGGAAAATGGCTTGCCAGGAGAATCAGAAAAAAGAGGCAGTCACAGCAAATTTTAAAGATAACAAGTGGAGAAAAGGTATTAGTTAAAGAAAATGAAATACGGGGATAAATTCAAAACTTCTCTACACAATTATAGACAAAAGAGGCAAGAGATAAAGGAAAGATAACACAATATTTAAGCAATCAAAAGCTCCAGAAGATTTCTGAGGAACAAAGATTACAACTGAATAAAGAGATTTCAGTTGAGAAAACGGAAAATGCTATTAAAAATCTACATAATAATAAAGCACCAGGTCCAGACAGCTATACACCCTGTTTTTATTAAACAATGCAAAAAGAAATACTACCAACCCTTAAAAAAAATGAATAATTTGCTAAATGCTAAAGAAATACCAGAATCCTGGAAGATGGTAGAGGTGGTATTAATTCATAAAGAAGGAACAGATTCAGAGGATATTAGGAACTATCGTCCAATTTCTTTACTAAATACCGTTTATAATTTTTTTTCACATATACTTGCTACTAGATTTAATTTTTTTTAAAAAGATTGGATCGGAGAAGATCAAAATGGTTTTCTTCCAAATAAAAACATTAAAGACAACGTAAGGACAATTTTGGACACCCTGGAGTATTACAAAATGCACCATTAAAAAGAACTAGACTTGCTCCCAATAGATGTGGAGAAGGCATTTTACAACATAAATTGGGACTTTTTAAAATGACTTTCAGGAAATAGATATTGGCCATCAATTTCAAAATGCAGGATGTGCGATTTATGAAAAGCAAACATCAAGATTATCAATAAATGGAAATTTGACACAGGAATTCTCAATAGAAAAAGGTTCACGTCAGGTATGCCCACTATCTCCTTTTATTTTTATTTTTATTTTTGCATTGGAGATTCTTTTAAGGAACATAAAGGAAGACCCAGACTTGTTAGGTTTAAAAATCGATAAACAAGAATTTCAAGCAAGAGCTTTTCTGGATGACATCATATGTATTATTGAGAATCCCAGGGCGAATATAACCAAATGGCTTCATAAAATAGAAGAATATGGAGAATTAGTGAGATTTAAAATAAATAAAAAGAAAACTATGATGTTAACAAAGAATATATGCAAGAAGAGCTACAACAACTTTTGGATATAAAGATTGTGGGGAAAATTAAATACCTCGGCATCTGAATCACACCAGAAAATCTACGTCTATTAAAGAACAATTATTTGGAAAAATGGAAAGAAATAAAAAAATAATTAGGAAATTTGAGAAAACAAAATTTATCATTATTAGGAAGAATTGCCACAGTTAAAATGAACTTACTTCCTAATATGTTACATTTATTTCAAAATCTCCCAATAATAAGGAACATGAAAATTTTCAAAGAGTGGACCAAACAAATAATGAAATTTATATGGAAAGATAAAAAAAACCTAGAATAAAAGTCTCAATCATGACGGATTCAAAAAACAGGAGGCTTCGGCCTCCCACATCTTAAATTGTATTATGAAGCATGTGCATTCATATGGATTATGGATTGGTCAAATCTTACAAAAATTAAAACTAACTTCAGAACGTTTTGATCTACGAAAAGGATGGCACTCCTATTTGTGGTACAGGAGGACAAAATTGGGAAAAAAAACTCTGAAAATAATTTTATTCGATCCTCACTGATTAAGATCTGAGAAAAGTATAAAAGAAATGTGTATACCAAGACCCTAATGTGGGTATCTCCACTAGAAGCAAATCAAAGAAGGTTATTAGGGTGGATAAAATGGCCGATTTATAAGGACATTTTAATTAAAAGAAATGATATATATGAATTAAAAACCCAAGAAGAATTTTTCTTCATGGTCTCTGTGAATGCACACATGTGGAGTGACTGCGCCTGTGCGAGCACCAACAGAAAACTTCTCTAGTTTAAACTTTTCAAGTTTTGGCGGTAATCCCACCCAGTCCCCAGCAGGGCATAAAAGGTGCCCTGCGTGTACGCTCCGCAGTTCCTGTTTTCCACCGGAAGGCTCGCTTCGGAACTTCCCGTTTCAAGCACTGCATGCAGTGTTCGAGAAAGATACCGGAATCTGACAAGCACTCTAAGTGCCTTCTCTGCCTCGGCGAGGCACATATCGCCGCTTTGACGGCACAGTCTTGAAAGAATCGAGCTCACTGGCTGAGGTACCTTCTGTACCAACAATCTCTAGCACTGTCGACATCGATGTAGTCTGCTGTGCCATCAGTGTCGACAGTGGTACCGCCATCTGCAAAGACATCAGCAGTTCCATCGACTTCAACGGCTCCGGGCCCCTTGGTCCGCCCAACAACAGCGGGTAAAAGACCGCCAAAGAACCCCCTCTCGACAATGTCGACGGCGTCGAAGGCTTTGAGGCAGACGTGGCAGTTGAAGCAGCCGTTCACGGTAACTACAGAGACCATACGGGCTCAACATTCTTCCACAAGTTCTGTGGGCTCAGTACGTTCGGGACGCTCCACGAGGTCGACAACGGCAACACCGCCATCCTCCACAGTGGTGCGCATTGCATTCAAACGGGTG